CTTCTATCTGGGCTTTTGATGTGAAAATTATACATGATTTTTGGAAAGTGTATTTGTATGTGTCAAACCAGCTGTGAAGAGGAAGAAATCACATCAGTGCTGCTTAAAAGTTAATTGGATCTAATAATTCAATTTCAAAAGCCCTTCCAAACAGATTTTTAATATTTTGCAGGTGAATCACCAACACCAAAGCGCAAAAGCAAGTCAGGTAATATTAAGTTGGTAAATGTTATTCACCTGTTGTTGAAAGTGGTTTAGATGTTGTGTGCAACAATTTTCTCCCATGGTCTCTCTTCTGCAATTTAAACCTGTTATAAGGCTTAGCCTCAAAGTCCATCCATGCTGAGGACTACCAAACCACAGTTTCTGTAACTGATGGTTGTTATGAATAATTATTAAGGTTAGAGTGGCCAATTTAGGTTTATTATCAAGATGTAGATTGGGAAGAAGAAGCAATGAAAAATAACAATGAAGAGCTAGATGCATGTAAATATGTACTTCAAACAAATCCTAGGCTTGAATATTTCTAGCTGAAGACAATCATGCTTTCTGGCAACACCAATAATTTTCTTTATAAATGATTACTTTAGCAAATGCTTTGTAATGCACACTCGGAAGTTTGGTGTCATATCCATCATCTTGAGCTTAGTCCTCAAACTGACATTTAGTTGAAGGAAGATGTAAGACCTATCTACTTGGACTCTAGTGATAACTATTTCTCTGATAAAATATTATGTACAAACTCTCTCTGGAGTATTTTTAGAGGCATACTTAGATGTTTGTAATTTCGTTATTGGGTAAGGTGGAAGGAACAGAGGAGGAGGAAGGAAAAAACAAGATACTTCTGAGTCTGCAAGGAAAAAGAAAAAGTATGTGTTAAAAGGTTATAAATTTTGTTTGAACTAACTTCATCTGAGGATTGTCTGGATTGCATTCCAATGGAAACAAATTTTGTTTTGCTCAAAAATGGAAGATAACTCATTACTTTTGCAAAACCTTGAAATTTAACCTCCAGTATTCAGGTCAGGTCATGAATAAAATACAAAAAAATTGTTTCTTGTTTTTGAACAATGAAAACAGGTAACCTTACATCATTCCAAAAGATCCATGGGAACACTAAGCCAAAAAAAGAAACAACACAACAATATTTTTTTATATTATTGATGTGGAACCTGATCATATTGTATTTTGACACCTGAAAATTTGATAGTGATTTATTCTTTTTTAGAGTTGAATCTGAAGGTCCTAAGTCACTTGCAGTAGCTGTCTCTCTCTTGGCACCTGAGGTTCAAGTGCTTGATATGCCAGTTGACCCTAATGAGCCAACATACTGTCTGTGTCATCAGGTAAGCAGCTTGGAAAAGAACCAGAAGTTATTAAAGTTTGATAAACTGTTAGCAGGTTTATGTTGTCTATTGATGAACATGCGGGTAACACTTTTGTCACTAAGTTACATTGTGCTCCTTCTGAGGTATGTTACTAAGATTGCATTCCTTTGGTTTTTGTTACCTAGGTTTCATATGGTGAAATGATAGGCTGTGATAACACAGAGGTAGGCATAACACAGTCAGCCTATTACTATAAATTATTACTATTGTTTTTAATTTGTTTTGGAGTTTTGTAAGGGGAGAAAATCTGTTAGTCCCCTGTAGCAAGACAGTTCCTCTCTTTAGCTTTGCAATAGCTAAAGGCATCATGAAGTTTTCACAAGTCTATGTATCAACAAGGATTTAGTGTGAATGTACAGTTGAGATGAAAAAAAAGTAAAGAATTATATTCCACACTTGATTTCTGTTGTATTTTTTGAAAAACATGCATTATGCAAATTATTGGATCTCAATTCAAAATAAGGGTCTTATTTTTTATAACTGTTCCCCATCACCCAAATGTTTTCTAGTCTACTTGCATTATGTTAAAGTCCTGTTGTGCTAATTTAGAAGGCCCTACAAAAATCTTGGTTTTTTTAGGTGGCAAGTGGCTGCCTTTACACTTAATCAGCTAGGTTCACACATTAAACTGTAAACTCTTAATTCTCTCCCTCTTTCAATCCACTTCCCCCATTGCTTCCTCATGTTAACTTCGTATTTTCATTTTAGTGCCCAATAGAATGGTTTCACTTCCCGTGTGTAGGACTGACATCAAAGCCAAAAGGAAAATGGTTAGTCTAGACAAGATTGCATTTCTCAAATTTTGAAATTTAAATTAATTGCTATACATTTTAGTGTGTCTTGGGGGCATGTGCCTTGGTCCTACTGCTGCAGGTTGATAGAGAGATATAAAGCAGCTTGATATGAAGGATATCAATCTCTAGATTAAAAGATAAGTCACACCTCGGAATACTCTCTCAATATGAAAAATGAAGTTTTTCTTTTTACTACAAGTTGATTTATAACGGTAAAGACCGAATACTTTTCAAATAATCTTGTCTTTTTGAAAATGGTTCTTAAATCCAAAGTCATGGCATGTGTAAATTTTTCTCAAACACATGGGCCTCAAAACCTGTATGCAGAACTTAGTACATTTTACCTCACTGCGCATTATTGATCTTATAATTTCCAAGTTTTTATCAATAATGTATGTAGTCAAGTGACTTAGGATTCTCACACATGAGTGAGCTCTTGATTAAAAGGGACACTCCTGAGCAGAGCCTTATTCATACCTTTCGTACAGGTATTGTCCAAAATGTGCACAAGAGAGAAAGAAGAAGTAACTATGGCATCAGTGACTATGGCATCAAAAGGGCTTATAACCACTAACAACATTGTTTGGGAACAAAGCAAGACAAGTATGCCTGTTATGGTCCAAATCTCCCGGCACACAGTGAACGTTCGTCGTCAGTTGCGCATGTGTGGTCAAACCCCTTAATAAGAGAATATTGTAGCAAAGTGCCTTTGTATTTATATTATTACTGCACCTGTCAATGACATGCGACCTCTGGCTCTCTGAGCTATTCTTACGATGTCCCTTCATTTAGCTGTCAATCATTACCGCAACTACTATCGAAGTACAGAGGCAAACAAAATGGATCGAAATCCACCGCTTACAATTTAGGAATGCATTTTTTATGACACAAATACAATTCCACAGACCGAAAAAACGTAGTAAATTCAGGAGTGGCTTATGTTGAATGATTGTACCAACTCGTGTAAATATTATTTGTAGATATAAATATAAAGTTTACATAATATTACGGCGAGTTGGTCAAATCCCCATTTTTTTTCCTCTTTTTCTTTTTGTCTCTCTATTTTTTGCTTTGTTTTTGTTTCTTTATGTTTCTGTTTTTGATAGCAGAGAACTTTTCAAATTTTTGTTCATTCTAGAGTACAAAGTAGTGTAGGGTTTCAAAGTGCTTGTATAAAAAGGCCACATTTTCGACGAAATGACCGAAACATGATATTGAAATGTTCGAGGAGTTTTTGACGGTTTTTTTTGTCGATGAGATCGCGACAACTTACTAAAGCTATTTGCACTTGTTGAAATTTTCTAAGAATATTCAAGGAGGAAAACCTCGGTCCGGCATCTTTTAAGGGTTTCACGTAGTATTCTCGTGCGTAAAACAGTCGGTTCCTCGCAAGGTTTGTAAAGCTTGACCTGAATTAATTGTAAAATTAAGTATGGATTACAGGATTGAATCATAATTTACTGTTAGTTGAGACATGTTGGTGGTACATTCATGCTAAGACATGAAAAAATTTGAGGTGACCGCCAAGTTTCTTTAAAGCCCGCTCTTCCACGTTTCTCCCCGTAACAAAATTCTGAAGTAACAGTTCATTGTAGTGATTTTTTATACATTTGGAATAGGAAGCATTTCATGACGAAGTATACTTGAGTTTGAAAGTTTGTAATTAGTTTCTTTAAAGACATCGAGAGTTTTCAACTAAAGAATATTGCATATTGAATATGGTGTTCATCAAGCGTGGGTGACGATTCAAATGAAAAATAAAAAGTTAAAATACCCTGTCTTAGAACCCTGAAAAGCTTCCTCCAAAGGTATGGCAAGCACAACAATATTCAATCCTTGCAATATATCTTTAATCCTTAAAGTATTCACTTATTTAACGACGTAAAAAAAGCATTTAATCCAATTGTTAGTGAGACCTTTGTTGGAAATCAAACCTGATTTTCGTGATTTCATCCAATATCACTAGTATTGATTTAACACATACCACAAGGAGTACGTTTTACTGCAAATGCTCTGCTTTACCTGGGGAAGTCTTTCATATCTCAGATTTGTTGTGTCCTGCTGCAGAAGAACTTGAACTCTTAACACGATCTCCATCTCCTTGTCAAAGTTATTGATTTTTCGAAAAAGGGTTCGGAGAAAAACAGTGACAACAAAGACACTGTTTATTCGCAACAAGAAACATTGAAAATTTCAAGCTATCAGTGGAGAGACGTCAATATGAAAACACGCTTAAAAAGTTAGTTTTTGCTCTCTTGAGCTGTTAGCCTAAATACTTCTGACCCCAACTAACCAGTTGTAGATTCACAATTGGAAATAATGCCTTATAGACACAGTTATTTTCAATTCAAAAACTTCATACGGTAGCCAATCAATCGTTAAAACCAACTAATTCTTATTTTCATTGTGATGGCTTTAATATTCCTATTCAATTAAAAAAGAAAATTCGCCAGGCAGGGTCAGTTCCACCACTAAATTCCTTTAGGCTGTAGAGTACTACCGTTGAAATTCTTGCCTTTTCTGTTCTCTCCATCCTCCAGCTTCTTCGGGTGATGCTACTATCTACCTGTCTTAGTCTTGTCTAATATGTTGAGAGAGGAAATTCACCTGTTTCAGTATGTTCATGGCCAACATTGATACACACTGGTAGTCTTCTTTAAGTCAAGGAAAATTCCCATATATTCCCTTCGACAGACATTTCTCAGATTGAGACACTCCTAAAATGACAAAGCTCCTCTCTTCTTGTTTTCCAAAGTAACAATTAGGTGCGTTTAATGTCAGAAGATGATGATTTAAGACTTTACCACGTAAGTTTAAGTTTTGGTACAACTGTTAGATAGCGGATACTTATTATCTGACTCTTTTCACCCTCAATGAAATTAGTGAAAGTTCAACGTTGGTAAAAACAAGATTTCATTTCTCTATGAACCCTCTGTTCCGTGTGTCAAATCTTAGATCTATTAAGTGGACGAAATCCAGTTATTGGCGAGGATTGGATTCACTTCCTCACTGCTTTTTTACCAACTCCAAGCTTCAATAGAATCTCGTCAATCAAGCCAGCATGGCGCGCACTCGAGTCACTGAAGCTGTTGCCGTAGAACCATCGCTAACCGACGTAACGTATTATGTCACACTGATTATCCCATACTATTTGAGAAGTTTCGAAAACTTAAATTCAAAAAGACGTTAGTGAAATTCATATCTAGATGATGCGAGTTATTTTCTTTATTAAGTACGAACTTCCGATCTTTATTCAGAATATGGTTTGAAACGACTATTTTTGAAAAGCAACGTCAAGTGAATGATTTCCTCTTCAATCATATCCATGATGCAGACTTCAGTCTCAATCATAACGTCTCATTTTTCAATCACATTCCACGCCTATAGGAGCTACCTCGCTTGCGTTGCTAAAATCTTCTCAGTTCAACCTGAATGAGACCAATACAGTTGCTCGGTAAGGAAAAAAAAAGCGAAAAGCAATGATGGTCTAAGAAGGTTCATGGTTTTCTAAGAATGGAAAACATTTAACTTATTTAGCACAATCAAAATGTTCAGCATAAACATCTAAAGGCTTACTGATGTAAGATGCGCAAATCTTGGCTCGACCAGATATGAGAAAATGACATCGCACGTAAGAAAAGAGACTAAAACCACAAGTTTAAAAATTGACGAAATGTTCTGGAATAAGTTTTGATTAAATAATTCATTTAATTAAATGTTGATATAGAGCCTCACTGACAGGAAATTGTTTAGTATATTTTAGGTCTGTCAATCGACAGGAAAATAACTTGTGTCTTTAGTACATGGACCAATACCAAATTAAATGTGGTGAACACTTTTTTTTGGTCAATGAAGGTTTTTGTTGTCTAGCCATCATGCGGATGAAAAAAACGTTTCAAATCGCCCACATTTTTGAGATACTTACGGTGATGTGGTTTGTGTGAAAATTGTTTGCTTCTTAACTTTCCTCCGTTGAAGTCTAAAAATTGTTATCTGTAACTGAATTAGTGTTAGTTTTGTTTCATGTGCATTTACAACGACTCTTCCGTTTCCCGTGGCCGGTGCCCCATTATAACATTTTAGGATCCTTTTATTTCCCTGATTTAAATAGCAACAGGGAATAAGTTTTCAAGACTATACTTCCTTCTCATCCAAATACAATGAACTTCCACGAGAGGAAATTTCTTTACTTAGACAATCAAGGTAATATCATCCTATCTGGAAGGTAATGCCAACAGCTATTGAAGGCTGATATCAAATGCGGAGTTTGATCTTAAAGCCAATATGGTTCGGGAAAGAGACTACCATCTGTTTGCATTTTCTCTTCAAAATAATTTTTTATACCGCAGAACGTTCATATAAACTTAGTCATCTGAGCTATTCGAAAAATGACGCTGCCTGATAGTGATAGAAGCAAATCAGCGAAATTATATCGATCATGCTATTTACGGTGGTGCCCACGCAGTACAGGGATGGCTTATCCATCAAACAGTGTCAATCAGCCGTATATTTTGCCCTGATATATAGCTAATTTCCGGGACACAATGAAAAACCTCTGGGACGCTGACGCCTTTCCTCTCGGAAAGAGGTTTCTTTCCTTCTAACTCAAACGTGGATACATACGAAAATTTCTAAATAAAAATTATATATGTTGTGGTGTTGAATATTCAGAGAATGTAGACATAGGCTGACATTCCTAAACAGAAGAGAGGTGAAGTTGAGTCAGAGATTTGTGCAGGCAATCTGGAAAATCATTCGAGACTTCATTCTATAATACCTTGATGTTATTTGTTTACCGTCGATCTCTAAAATTTGATTGTAGGCTTCCCACTTCATCATTAGAAGCCATAGAAATGCGATGATACACGTGACGCCACTGTTTTGACAATGTTTTTCTTTTATTATTCAAATTCTAGTCCCAATCTGTATCTCTTATTCTTGTTCTTTTGTTTTGTTTTTCTGTTTAATTTTTTTCCTTTTTCGTTGTGAAGTGACTCGGCCCTAAAGATAAGATTAACCCTTATAGTATAGCGTTAACATTCATAGTTATAGAAGAAGGTATCAGAATATTGTACCGTGAGGAGGTTAGAGAACTCGTCACTTGGGGTAATTGACCGTCACCAGAAGCGATTAGAAATACTAGTTTATGTTCATGTTTTAGTAGCGCACGACAATAACCTTGTCTAGATCATTATCTAGTACAAAGGTAGTTACGCAGACTCAATATGCCCTATTCTTGTTCTAGAAATTACTGAGAAGTAACTCATCAATAAAAGTACTTCAATTTATTTGAAGTAGTGGTGTGCGGCCACACTTCCCACACTCTTGTTTGGGGCGTTTCTCAGGAAGGCGATCTACATTTCCGCTTCAAGCTAAGAACCATTCAGGTTTAAGGGTTTTTAGATCTTGTCGTAGATGATAGATATCCTACTGTGTGCATTAAATATGTATATTCTAAACACTCCAGCTTGTGCTCCTAATAATAGTGACGCGCTAATGAGTATAGGCGCGGAGCGGCCTGGCGCCTGGCGCCTGCAAGGAGTGATGTCTCATGATTAGTAACACGGAATACCTTGTGAGAAGTGTGTGCCGAGACCGAGCGCTACAAGGTGACTAACAGAACTTCAAGTCGGTATACGTATCCTAACGAACTTCAAGTCAGTATACGTATCCATCATAAGTTTGTTCCGAACATGGCCCTTTTCATGTCATGCATTTGTAGAGGTGAGTGGTATGTTGTATATTTAAAAATGTTCAACCGAATCGTAGCTCAGTACCACTAATCGTGTAGGTCACTGTGGGTCAGTAACAAAGTGAATTCTTGCGCGTTGTTTTCTCACTGGCTATTGGTTACAGTCATCCGTCAAATTCTAGCCAAACGGGTGTATTTATTTCCCTGTTTTACATTAAGGCATAAGAACTCAACAAAAATAGAATGCACTTGAATGATACCATAACAAGCTTCGACGTTGTACATATCCACAAATATAGAAAAAAAAATCAAAAATACGCTGAGAAAAAGTAAACGGGTACTAAATCTCTGCTTTTGAAGCAGAAACAGTTGTTTTCCTTTAAAATATAGAATAATTGACATCGTACAGTTGTATATTTAAGTTTATTACGAACCACTAATATGCCATTGAAGCATTCATAATATCAGATCTGATCACTTTGCCACCCGAATGTCACGATCACAATGCAACGCATGCGTTTTAGTGGCTCCTCATATTGTAGTTATCTTCATTGTGCATAGTTGATTTGTAGATGTAAGATAAACTGGGCGAGAAGACGATGTATGAAGGGAGCTGATTTCTCGCTTTAAGGAATACCTTCAGCGGGCCTCATTTTGCTCTATGATTAAGTCCATGCTACGTATAGGTTTTGCAATAAAAATCTATGTTTACCGACAAATAAACGCCGGAAAGCAACAACCACCGGTTCTGCAGTGTAAGCTCTGTGTTTCACACAATTTGCAGCACGTGTTAAAGGTGGAGTCAAAAGGTAACACTTTTTTTTATACCTTTTTTGTTTTATTTTTTTCCAGTCCATACCTTTCACCCTGTGACCCCTACGCGTGACTAGCAACTAATTTCTCTTCACAAAATCATTTCTAAATCACACACTAAGATCACGAGAATAAAGGAAATGATCACCAACTAAAGAAACGCGTTACTGTTAAAAACAAATTCTCCTTGACAGAATCTTACGATAAATATGGAGAATAACATGGACAGTATGCATACTGATGTTAGATTGTAATCATGGTTAAAAAAAAAACTTTGGTGAGGCAGCTGTTGCTAGGGCGTTCCAAAGGGAAAAATAGAGGAAGATGCCGTGAATTTTCACAGTTTTGTAAAACTTATTTTCATTAATAAGACATCACACGATTCTGAATTTTTCAAAAGTCTGACTTTTTGCCATCCAAAAGACCTCCTTCACCTTTGGCCAACTTGTACATAGCTGAACACCCTACTGTTAAGTTCAGTGAAATAGCACACGACAAATTTACACAGCCCTGAATATTTACAACCTTATTTAGATATCTTCTCACTCACAACATGCGTAGCCACTGATAGCAGACAATTTATATTCCATTCTGCACTTACGGATTTACGCGATAGTTGGAAATTACATGAGGGAAAGTGTTCATTGCGAACGTAACTGACTACAAAGACGTTATTATTAGAACTCTCCTCTATTTATAGAGCTAATGCTTAACTATTTTTGGTACATCTTGATGAGCTACTCAGTTACAAATTCGGACATCTAATTTCCATCGTTTGCTCGGCAACATTCATGCACAGAGCGAAGCAAAATCTAGGAGAGTTGTCATAAACGATTATTGTTCGCAAACGACCGTGCAACAGGTTGAATGTTAAATCCTCTACATTTATTCTATCTTAAACTTACTTTAAATCCAATGCATTGTAAATATTTTTTTTTTAGTTTGGCAGTTGATAAAATACTTCTGCGTCAATTTGCGTATTCCCAATAACGTTGGACCAGGCTATAGCTAATAAATGATAATTTCAGTCAAACCAAAGTTGCCATGCGTTTTCTTTAAATATCCAAGCTTCTCCGGCAACTCAGCTGTTTCATGAGGATGGTCTGAAATGCCCAATTTCTCAATCTTAATCCATGTATGATCGGCAACTCTGACAAAAGAAGAGTCACAGCTGAGAAGTGTTTGGGGTGGCGCATGGGAAGGGCATTACAAAAACCAATTAGGAGCATGCATTTGGTTGTTAATGCTATGACCAGGGTTTTATGAGACTTTTTATTTTCTTTGTTATAGTAGCTATATAGATATAGAAAGGGTTTTCCAATATTCCTTCCTATAAGTGGAGTGATTTAATAAGGCTACCGAGAGTTTGAAATGAACGCTTGGCTAGGTTATTCCAATCACTAGAATAAAGTCATCGCTGAAGAAAACTTTCTTAGGGTACTCGACCACAATCACGTCAAACTCAGTCGATGGAAGAAAACATATCTGACAGGAAGTAGTGTAGTTTTTCATTGTTTGAGCGTATTGTACTGTACGTGGTGTTTATTATTAGTTTAAGTATTGTATCTTGAGCGCCCTAAGTGTTTTTAGGTATTGTTAGTTGTAAACAGTATGTCTTTGTTTGCAAATAAAAAAATAATGGCAAATCATGAAAAAAAAATCGTTGTTCACGCTAACCGAGAGAGAGAGACCAGGCCGAGCGCCTCTCTTCATCGGCGGCAGTGATGAATTCTTTTGCCTCGCCACACGAAGTAGTGTCCATCAGTTAATTAGCACTTTTAAGGTCAACTTGGTCTCGTTTGAACTAGGTTCAGTTTTTTCCGTCAGATTTTACCACTGTATACATTTTTTTCAATGTTTACATATAATACTAAATGTCATGACTGGACACCATTGAGCTCCCGGACGTGTACATTGGTACCTAGAGGACCTGGCTGGCAAAAACTGATTCATTACAGATGCACATGATGAATCCTCGTTCGGTGCGTGCTGTAGGTTCTTCCACCCTTTCACCCACTTTATGCTTAGTTAAAGTAACCAAAGAGTCATATACTGATTTGAAATGAACGTTAACCTCTGTATTCACCACATTAGAGAGTTAATGTCCGATGACACTGAAATGATTTAAGTGTATATTAATTTACTTCTTCACCGTTATCACAAAGGTTATTAAAACTGTATCAAACTGAGAGCAAATAAGTTGTTGTCCGTTTTTACTAGAGAACTCCAGAATGTTTTATCACATTCGCCCTGTTTATCTATTATCAGATTGTCAAAATAAAGCGGATTACGTCTGTAGTTATAATTATTCACATAAATGCTGACTTGTTCGATTTGATAACTTGTCAAAACACAATTCTCAGCTTGCTTGTATCTTCATGGACCTAAAACTAAAGTGAAGTAACTTGTGGGAAATAAGTGTTAATGCTTGATATGTCAGTGCTTATCCAAATTTTGATTAATTTGCTTTTATTCTGTAGTGACCATTTGAATCCACGAGCCACATCACTCCAACTGAAAAGTGCTCAGGTGATCAAGTTGAAAATACGCAACTTCTATTTTAGGAAAATGGAATTCTAAAAATAACACTCTGTGCTTTTAAATGAAAATCACTTATTGCAAAGGAATAACAATAAGTTCCATGAAATTAAATTTTATGCGTTACAATTTGAAGAAGATAACAGTCGTAAGCTGATAAGGGATTGTTTTTTCTCAATTTGACTAGTTTTGGAGGCAATAAACACGTGCTTTAATCGCTTGCAGTAATTTTCACCAAAAATTGCTTTTGACCTGAGGCGTTAGAGTGATATTTGCTATGATTTGTTATTTAAATTTGAAGTTTTCCATGATGCACTAAGTTTTCTCACAGATATTGCAGATATTGAGTCTCAAAATGTCAACAGACAAAGAATCACGATGCCAAAAAGAGAAGTTTTATTAGTAAAAATCTTGTTCATAGAAAAATAATCCGCTTGAACGAAGTCATTCCGAGAAGTTGCCTTTGTGATCAAAGATAGACTGACCATGGAAAAGGAGGAAGGCTTAATTAAACTAAACTATACGTTAATGAGAAAGAAAGTTAATGTTTACAGTGTCTCCATTGGCGACACCCATCATAATGTGATATCGGACTGCTATTGACGAAACCCTCCCTGTGTTAGTCACGTTTCCGTAACTGGTTTAGACCAACTCCAGGAATTTTTGGGTGAAGCTACATTTTTTAACAATTTTTGATTTTTGGAGAGAATTGAAGAGTAACTGATGAAATCCATCGTTGCGTTATTTCAAATTTGACGAAAGCGATCGAATTGATTAGGGCCAGTCCCAACCCGACTTATTAGCTCCCGCAGTGCCTTATCAATACAGGTCAGTGGCTATTTATAGTAGAATCCTCGTCAAGAAAATTCGTGTTGAAGTTCATCGCGACTTTTCTTTCGTTTGTTGCGCTTTTGACCGGCTTTTGTTTCTTTTTCTATCCCTTTTCAGCTTGATTACACTTAAGGTATGTGATTTTGGTAAATAAGAACGAAATTTGCCATTTGTTACTTCTTCTCCCGTAGTTCATATGATGGTCATTTTGTTGCACTATCTGCGGCATACTTCAGGCTAGGGCAGTCTGTTCGTCAATATTGTGGATTCCTTTTGTTTCGTGTCCCTGTTAGAGTTTTACATGTAGTTTACTTTAATTATATTGAAGACAAAGAAATCACTAACGACTTCAGAAGGTGTAATTTCGTTTCTTTCGCTTCGGGGTATAAGTAATTTACGATATTGCCTGAGATTCAGTCGTTAAAACTTCAAAAAATTGTCGAAGAAGGACCAATCTTAGGTTGACGGCTTGCGCTGCTTTCCTCGAGTGCTTTTTCGTACTTGAGTAGACATTTTATGTCATTTCATTGTTTCCATGTTGATCGGCAGTTAAATATTTGTGTAACAAATTTGCGGTGAGCACTAATGCATGCAAGCGGCGCGGCAACATCATAGTGGTATATTTGCCGAAAGGAAATTTCGTGACCTTTATTCGAGGTGTTACGCGGTATTCTTTAAGGCTTAAAGTTTTAACGGGAAGGTTTAGCTTTGAAATTGTTCCATACGGACTCTTGCCCGAACTGACGGTAAGTGAGAGAGAGAGTTTTTCATGTTTATCTGTTAAATTTACGCTTATAGTTTGCGTTCTGATTGCAGCTATTAGTTTGTTTAGCTTTAAATAAATCAGCGGGAATGTTTTTAAAAACAACATTTCTTACTGCTGCTCTCCTGAAGAAAGCGAAGTAAAGTATTTTATAAGTTTGGCGACTTTCCGAAGTTACTTTAAACTTTTTGCTTGATATCAGATTTGAATCGATTGTTCTTGGTAAAAGAGGTATTTTCTGCATGACGGCTTAGTTCGAAAATCTACCAAATTATCCGGCTTGATGTCTTCAATTCTGCTCACTCATCGACTACCAAGATTTTATGAAATTAGCTATGATGTCTTCCGTATTCAACTTAATTCCCTTCGTAAGGAGCGGGAAAGAGCTTAATTACATCTATTTCTTAGCACAATAGGCTCTTTGTTCGGCGATTTGCACATTCTGCCGAGGAATTCATGGTTTGGTGTATGCCCTGAGGTCCATAGCAATGCTACACTTTTCTTAGATGCCTTTATCGACATGCATTTACTGATAACCTGTAATTTTCTTAAAATAGTCAATGTGATTTCACCTTTGTTTAATAATAATTGAAGTTCTATCATTGTTAGCTAAACTTTGCTGTTTTTGTTTAAGTTTCCCCATGGGAAAATCATGAAAATAATTTGACTAAGAGGAACAATTAAAAGCATTTAACTTTGTAAAGAGTAAATTTGCATTGGCTTTATTTACAGGTTGATCATCTCTATTAATAATCTGACTTACAGTATTAGGTTTAAGTGAGATGATCTCATGGTTTTGATCAAAGAAAGTGAAATGTATAGTGTAACTACTCAGTATGTAAGCCTAAATTCAGCTATGTGCAGCTATGTGGTGAAATGTTGATTCTTATTTTGTGTTTCATCCAAACTATTAGGTAGGTTTTTCTCTGATGATTCATTGTCTTGCTATCTCCTTATTGAATACATTCATTGTTCCACATTTAAGATTGGTTTTAATTTTTGGATGCACACAATTTCATTCCCCCATCTCTGTGGTGAATGTTTTCATCCATTCATTATTTAATGTCACAAGATGAAGTGGTACCAGCAAGCAATAGAAAAATAGAGAAAGTATATTTTTCCTTATCTTCTTCTCATTGATGAATAGTGAGTAGAACACTTGAACATCTCAGTTTGCAGGACATTTTTTCTTTGAAGATTCATACATGTTTCTTGTCTAAGAATTGTTGTTACTTGCAATAAAAAACAAGATCAAAGAAGCTGTTACCATTCAAAAGCACCTCAGACAGTTCCAAGTTATGTCTACTTTCTTGGTGAATACAAAAAAACCTTACAGTAACAAATTTAGAATATGCTTACCTCGGTATTTTCTGAGGAACTGAGTGGTATGGCAATCCTTGATTTGAAGTATAGAGGAACTTAGCATTTTGTGAGCAAAAGTTTGATGTGCTTAATGAGAATTGATTGGACCAAAAATGAATAAAATTGTAAAGATCTTGCCACTTTTTATAAGTACCTTGTAGATGGAAGCTAAGAAATCACTCAGAAGTTTAGGGAATCGTTGTATACTTGGAAGTGATACTATTTTAAGACTGATAATGACCTTGTCAATTTCTCATCAAAGAGGTTTTGAGAAAACTATTCAAATGATTAAAATATTGTATGTATCTAGAAGTCAGAACACTGTTTGCCAAATTTTAAAAGTGCAATGGGTTTGTGAACATAAATTGTCCATAGGGTATAGTATATGTGAGAAAAGTTATTCAAAATTGGCTAAAAAAGATTTTGTTGGTGTATGTGTAAGCTATTCTGAAATAGTCATGACTGGCAGGAATGGGTTTGTAATTATTTAATAAACTGAAATGCTCTGAACAGAGAACCTACAATTCCTTTTTGAAAAAAGCAGTGTCAACTGACTTACTGATGACGTCAGTTTAAAGTTATGTTCAGAATAATGTGCAGATGTTGCATCTCAGTTTAATAAGAATTTGGTAGGGCTTCAATATTGACCAAGGAGTAGAAAGAAAGCTCTTTTGCCCTTGATTAGTTGGTGAGGTAACAAACTGGCATGAAAAACTAGATGTAATACTTTATCAAAGGGATTTCCTTGACAAGAACTTCAATTTTGGCTTTGTTTTGCACCACACTTAGTTGCCTCTTGCGTCAGTCAAAACATATTTACAAATGGATTGCAATATTGACTGTTTTGTCTGCTCTAAGTGATTTTTAGTCAACCACAGAAGTTTCCTGTAAACCATACACGCATTAGTATGACTTCATTTACCTCAAGTGTGACCATAGATAGTGTTTACATTACATAAGAAGCAGCTGGTTTTGTTTATTTGTTTTCATAGGGAGTTTTCTGTGAAGTTATATTGTTTGACTAGGACAAGTTTTGTCATAGTGCATTTCATGTGTGTTGGACCTATATTTTTTAAACTTGTTTTCTTGCAGGGCAAGGCTATGAGATATAGACAAGCAACAGTTGTTTGTGGTGCAGTACCTAGTTCTATCTGGGGACTATGCCTCTCATTGAGCCTGGAATGGAAATGGTATGTTATAATGAAACAAATAGGAAGATATAAGTACATAGTTTTGAAAAATATATCTATATGTTCATGACCACATTAGCATACATTCCACTGCTTTTGAATGGAAAATAATCTTAAGATACTCACTACTTATTTACCTTATTCTTCTCTACCTGAAATTTGTTGTGTTAAACCTGTAAATTCTCATTTACACAATAAACAGTTCCAAACTTGTGACCATACTGCATTTTCTCTGTAACTGTGGAGCCAACTTATGTGTTTTAATATGGCAGACTTGCAATGTTGTATGTTAACATAGAGCAAAACGTATCAAATACCTAAAAGTGACATGCAGTGAATTATCCCCTCTTTCTAAAATGTGTATCTGTTTTTTCCAAAAATGATAATTCTGATGTGAATAGTCCACATATTCTTACTGAGTAGTGCCTAAGATCTAGATGTAAATGAGAATATGTGTCTGCTGAAGCAAATATCATTACCACAACAATGAAAATCACAAGACTAATTACATGTCATAGATAGATAAATGAGTTACCAACAAAGTTTAAGGGAATTATTATACATGTCCAACACACTGATGAAAGATTCACTACCTTTTTTATTTTAAGTGGTTGTTTTTATTCATATTAATGTTTCCATACAGCATTATCTTATTAGTCGAAAGAGTTTTTTTTTTCATCCAGTGCACAAAAGGCACTCATTTATATTTTTTTCACCAAGTATTCAGTTTTAGAAACTGAATATTCATCTTATGTCCGTGTAAATGGTAGATGTATACCTCCACATTAGAGAGTAATTGCTAACTATTTGCTTTTACTATAAATAGCAACAGTAATGATTATACTAACTTCCAAGAGCATGCAGCATGTATAGATCATGAAGGGGTTTGAAGAAAAGGAGTGCCCTGAAATAGTGCAGAGCATGGTTGTTGTTTATCCATGTTTTGATTTACATCTCCATTAAGTCCCACTAGTTAATACTAGTTATCCTATTGCAAGTCAGAAGTTAGCTGTGCCTTTATGTAAGCTTGAATGTTTTTTATCTTTCAATCCACAGAAAGAACATGAGATTGTATTTGATTTAATTATCGCTACGGTAAGTTGTAATGAATGCATGAAATTGTGTGAAGAGTACAATTAGTTCTACCTGCTTCTTTTGCTAATGTTTTTCTTACTGTGACATGTATTAAAGATAAAAGACAACTGATACAGAAGTATTGGTACTCACAGGAAAACAGTCAATGTTAAATTGTATTGTATTAATTAGTATAAATATTATCAAAAATTGTTCAAGTCAAGTTTGGAAGATGGATTGCTCTACTAGTTGGTTGTTACACTGATTTATCACAACTCCCTGTTGTTTTTAGTTTGTTTGTTTGTTTTTACTTTTTTGACAAAAACTTTTTTTCCTTTATAACTTAACAGGCAAATCGGATTGACACCCAGAGAGCTGAATTTCCTCCAAGCAAGAAATCTCCATTTTTACCACTTTTGCCTTTGCCAGGGAAAGACAATCAACAGGAAACTGAAGAGGTCACTCAAAAATTTCTTGTTTAAATATTTTCCAGCTCAAGAAGATAATTCCCTTTATTAGGCTGAATGCTATATTACCACTTTCCATAAAGATTCAGATCTAGTCTGGAATACTAGATTAAAACCATTTCAAAGTGGAAAAATTTTTAAACTAAAACCTATCTGCAATAGGGCCGAAAAATTACCTTAAATCTTAAGTCACAGACCCTGGTGGCAAGAAATATATATATATATATATATATATATATATATATATACTTTGTTACATCACCTCAACCTTAAAGATCATAAACATTACCTCCTAAATAATCTTGGGTCTGATATATGAGAGCCATGTACAGGATGTAAATGGCTATCTACTCTCTACTTCCCTATGGGTGTCCCAGTCACTTATTTCAACACTTATTTATGAAACTCATCCTGAAATCGGTCTTTAATGCAATGTTTTGTGTTCAAATTCTTTAGAGTGATACTTCAAAAGAAGAAGAGGAAGCAGAAGGTGACGACGAAGAGGAAGAGGAAGTCTTAAAAATGACGGATTTAGACCCTATTAAGGAGGTGACTTGTTTAAGCATTGCTCAGATATTTTATATATACACACACGACCATTTTAAAAAATGGTGCAATTTGAAAAAAATATATGAAATATATACAACTTTTTTTTCCTCATCAAAAGACACTTTTTGATCAGAAAACAAAAGACATATATTTAATATATATTTTCAATATTGCAATGTTTTTGAAAACAGGTATATATATATATTTCACTTTTAGCAAAATTAGTATTTCTACTTGCTTAGGATGCTTAGGGTTAGCAAATAAATGATATGTAGACATTTTGAGCTTTCCCAGTCAGTTTGATAATTTATAATTTGCTGGCTAGTTGTTCAGAAGGTTGACTGGATAAAGTGAACCATTACTCTCTATCTATCTTAATGTATTAATAATAAACATGAAAAAATGTGTATCTAATTAGCTGAAAACTAGTGCATTTTCATGTAACACAAGTGCAAAGTTATAATACAGGTGCAAAGTTGCAACATGAGTACAAACTACAAATAGTGGCCACACACTGTCAAAATTTTGACTGTCATGACTTTCTGGGATGCCTTTTCCATGTAAATTATTAATAAGTAGCAACTTGATTTATGTACAATTTGGTTTAAATAAGCCTTTGTAAAGCTTATTAACACTAAATTTCACTCGAAATCATGTTATTAACTATACAAATGTATTTTACTTGTCTGTATCACATATTGTATTCCTATTTGTTTGTAACATATATTTCATTCACATATTGTAGGTTTTGGCAGCTGGAGGACCATATCCATTAGTTGTTCTGCCTGTTGGAGGTGAATACTGGTTGGAGGGAAGCAACCACAGACATGTCAGCAATACAGATCACAGGGCTGTTGACTGCAGGATAGAGATGAATAATGTAATTCAAAGCTACAGAAGAGATTTCATGGGAAAGGTATTTTGTACTATGCTTCCTTACACCATGCTTGTTTGAAAAAAATTCTTTCTTGTATGTAGTGTTTCAAACACACAGGTAAGCAACTAAAAGTTTATGCACACTTTATCCACACTAATCCACACTTAAAACAAGTTGCAGTATGGTTTACTTAATTTGTTTTCTTGACTCACCTTATTAATGCCAGAATAGCTTTAATTGCAAAATGTATTAATTCTATTTAATTTCCAATGTTTGATTTATTGACATTTTAGGAACATCTGAACTTCATCTGTGATGATGAAAAACTTGGTCCTGTTATCTTATCAGTCAAGCAAGAAATTGAGAAACTTGATGGTTGTGATACCCAAGGATTCAGAGTCATTTTAAGGTTCATTTCCCTTTTCAAACTATTCTTGTTTTTGGTGTTTGTTTTGGTTTTTTTAAATACAATACAGATTTTGATCTCATAGACACTTTTCAATGTGGTCATTTGCTAGGATGCTTTTGTTTGACCTAAAATACAGAATGTACTTCTACCTGGACAATTTTTAAATTTTTTTAATTGCAAGGTGTATTAATGTTTTCATGTATTTGATGTTACCCTTATCACTTATAATTGTAAGTAATGTCAATATTTCCCTTGAAAATGTAAAATTCTAAAATATTAAAGCAGAATATTCCATTGTAAATCAAGGCTCTTCTTCAATTTGCCATTTTATTAGAACTGCTGAAAAGACCATTGCAGACATTTTACCAATAGAGAATGTGTCTGACAATCCAGGACCAAGAGAAATTGTTAGGGTGAGTAAACAATTACAAAACATGGAATGAAAGTATCATTAATTTTACATTCTTATCATTGTGTAGGTTGTGCTACAAAAGGCCTACTCAAAAACTTTTTTTGTTTTTTTTTGAAAGTTTTGGATAAACATAAGAATATATTACTGAAAGATGGCTAATTAGATGGCCAATATTAAATGTTTTCAAGGCAAATATTTTTTTCAATTTTCCTTTTAGTATCTTCTTGCCGAGGATGCAGACAATATAGATCATTTTCAAGTCTTAGCTCATCCAAAGGTAAAGTAACAAAATAAAACTGATGGTGCTTACAATAGTACACTATGATATGTGAAAATGGTTTTGAAATGAGTTACCTGAAATTTATTTTGATTGTCTAACAAATATTATTTGAGTGACAAAGTGATATTTAACTGTGAGTCAGGGGTAGATTGTAGCAGTTTTGGTACTTTGCTTTGCCTTTGCTTCTTCTTTCTTGTGACATCTGTTTGTGTGTTACTCTCAGGCCTCAGAACTGATTGTCAAGTATGATGAACACAACCTGTCTAACTCTTTTAAATTTGGAGTTATATACCAGAAATATGGACAGGTAACAATTTAACAACATATGAATAGCAAATTATTTGAGAAGCTCAAGTAAAAATGCAAATAAAAATGTAGGTTATGTACATGTGTGGCAATAACAGAGATAACCATACTCTTTCAATGAACATTCATTCAACCTTTAGCACATTGTTAGTCTCTTTATGCAATGACTTTGAAGTGGTAAGATGTTAATTTCATTGTTCAATATTTTCAGACTACTGAAGAGGAGTATTTTTGCAATCGAACTCACAGTCCTGCCATGAATGAGTTTTTGGAGATGTTAGGCAATCAGGTGTGCCTCAGAAATTTCAAAGGGTGAGCTGTAAAACAAATTAACGCACAAACTTTAAATATTGGTGAACTTGTGTGCATGTTCCACTGGTACAAGTTTTATCCAGACCTACTGACAATGTCTCCTTACAATACTACTGCTCCATTAAGCTTACAAGTTCACTGACTCAGTTGCTCATGTTATCTACATGTAGGTTACTTGTATGGGATGATGTTTGTAAAAGCCATTTCTTTCATGAATGATTAACTCAAATTCACATTTCGTTTTCATTATTTACAGGTTTCCTGGAGGCTTGGATGTGAAACATGGTCAGACAGGTGACACATCAGTACATACTGTGTTTGATTCCAAGTAAGAAATTTGAATTTTCTCATTACTCATAAGTAACTCTTTCCTTAATAATTTCATGTTTGAATCTCGTAATTCAAACGTTATGTACTTCACCCACCTTCTCCATGTGGAAACCTTGAGTTGACATTGTATACTACCCTACTTTGCCAAACCTCTGATATATAGGCTATGTAGTTAGACATATTTTACTCTATTGAGATATACACCTCATTCACAATTTTTTTTTTTTAAGAGTGGTAAATTTATTTATACTCTGTGATTCACCTTTTTAGGGAGATCATGTTTCATGTTTCAACCTTACTACCATTCAGTAGCGGAGACAGCCAACAGGTATGAAAACAACAACAACAACAACAAATTGACCTTTAGGACGTATTTTTTTGTAACCAATGACCAACTCCAATGATGTAAGGCTGCCACACAACAATTGGATATATCTGCTTATTAGATGCACACCTTATGTTTAGCCGAATTTTTTTTTCTACTTTTAAGGTTCAAAGAAAGAGGCATATTGGCAATGATATTGTTGCTATAGTTTTCCAGGTAAGCGGGAGTTGTGGTTGGTTTCTCAAAGACCTTAAAATGGATTGTGTTAAACAGTCAAAACTACAGAAATGTTCGAAGATTGCTCGGTTTTTAACCTTTCTAAGCTATGTTGCAATTCTTTTAGGAGGAAAACACGCCATTTTCACCAGTTTCCATCCGATCGCATTTTCTACACGTCTTCATTGTTGTACAAGTCTTGGATCCGAACACGAGCAACACAAGATACAAGGTAAAGTACAGACATAAAGATTATTCCATGGAAAGTACGCACGAACGATTTTTATTTACGAGTTATGATGCATCAAAAAAGCGAACGAGTGGGTTTTTTTTTCTATGCATGACGACGAGTGGATAAAAAATTTTCAAATACTTTCCATGGTATGATGTTTTTATTTCATACATATTGAGATTTTTCTTATTGACCGACACATTTCAAAGTTTGGAAGCTATTATTTTGTTGCCCTCCATGGTGAAGCACTATCGTTCGTGTCTCTGATTGGACGAACGATGTATTTTCACAGTTGTTCGTTCAGTATGTACGAAATGAACGTAATTTAAAAAGTAATGAAAAGTAATCCGGGATCGTTTTTTGTTTTGCTTACTCTCTGTGATTGAATCAGAAAACTTAAGGCAACTCTCTCAACCGAGCACATGAAAACTTAAGCCAATCGCAATTGGGTCACTCGCTTTTCCCACGCCACAAGCACTCCACCAATTTTTAACTGATATTTCGTTTGTTGTTGTTTTTTGGGCTGATCCTTTTTTCTGTTTGGTTGTTGTAATTACTCTTGTTTTTTGTCGTTCGAAGCTTAATTTCGAGGTGTCCCTGTCCAGGCTACTGACTGACCAATCAACACTTGTAACATTTTTCACCATTATCACTCCAGGTCTCCATCACAGCTCGTGAAGATGTACCGCACTTTGGACCCAAACTTCCAAATCCTGCCGTCTTCAAGAAGGTTTGTTCACGATGAGCTTCTTGTTAAAACTTTGTCATAGCTTGAAGTATTGTGGAGGTTTTGTTCGGTCGAAAACTGAGGTTAAAGAGAACTTGTCACTAATTCTCCATCTAAATACCAGTGGCTGTATTTTCATCAAAAATTTCACCAGAGTAAGGTTTTCAAATACCTCTTTAAGAAGGCATTTTGAGTATTTAAGTTATTTTTATGGTCATATGTTGGTTTCCAGGGTCCTGAATTTCGCAAGTTTTTGTTAACAAAACTCATAAATGCTGAACTGGCAGCTTACAACAGTGCTGAGTTCGCAAAGTTAGCGGTAAGTGTTAAACCTTAATACGCGATAATATGGAGGAAGCTAACTACTGTATTTCCTGGCTTTTGCACGGAGAGATTTTTTAGAAATTTTTTTTTCATTCCTTTGCTTATTTATTTTCCAGGATCGAACGCGCACCTCTCTTCTACGAGGACTAGCGGTTGATTTAATCGAGAAGAACTCGCTGATACTTGACACAGGCGGAGAGGAGGTAAAATTGCAAGCAACGATCTACGTCACAAGTCTTTCTTTTCTTTCAATAACCTTTGGAGTAGTTGTGATACTACCTTTTTTCAAGCGCAGGTTAATGAAGCTTGTTTGGGCTCTTACGGTACTTGCTATTATGCCCAGAAAACAAAAATACAATTGAGTTGTATTGCACAAAATAATTAAGAAAAATTAGCAGGAAAAAAAAGACAAGAGTTAATAACCTTAGTTTGATTTCACAAACCCAGATGAGGAACTGTGTTTGGATTGATATTTTAGGGTGGCTTAACCTGAACACTTGCCTCTAAATTTTCAGTACGAAAGGTGACATGATACTCATAAACGAATATTTTTTTTTTGATAGTCACCTTTTTTCATTTTCGATGGTTGCAAAAATAATTTGAAGCGCTGTGAATGATCTGGCTGTTCCATTTGCAATGACACTCAGAGTTATTTTGTTCTTGATCCTTTAGGCTCCACAGAAGGCCAAGCTATTATCATCTCTGAAAAAGGTATTACGTACAAGGAGTCAAGTGAGCCGCACCATGTCCATGCGGGAACCGCGCCCAAAACCAGATGATGTTGACTCAGATGATAATGCACCAAAGTCCTGGCATAAAAAGGTTGGAAACAACAGTACCTTTTTTGTTTTGGCCCTCTTTTTTTAATAAATCGCACTCTTTGGACTCACTGGCGTCCATCAGTAAACTTAAAGCCTTCTAGATATTACTGATTGACGACTTATACTTGATTTTCCTCCATCCAGGGTAAGGAAAGAAGGAAATCTGCACAAGGTTTACTTTCTGCTAAAAAAGTCTCAAAGCCGCCCAAAAAGTAAGTGAGGAATCGCAATCATGTGGCAAGAAGTAGAAATACGTCGGCAATTATTATTATTATTATTATTATTATTATTATTATTATTATTATTAATTTTCTTGTGCGTATGAAACAAGTTATCGAGCCCAAATTCTATGTACTTTCAAACCCTAAGAGTGATACTCTCCTAACGCACCTTTGCTGCTAAATAATCAACCATCAGTTGTTCCAAGTCATTTTTTTTCTCGTAGTTAACAGCAGTGCTGATTTATTGAAACAAAAAACAAAATATTGAAATGGGAAAAGTGTGAAATCCTACTCTTTAGACATAAAAATAGCCACTTTTTTAATTGTTTTGATACTCAAACATGGCCGCCTGAACGAAGTTTTGCAACTATTTGGTGTATAGAGGAATTCCCTGTGGGGAGAGGTTAGTGTCATAAAGAGCTGATCTCCATGTGAGATTTTATCAACCAGTTATGTGGTAGTATCTTTGTCACAGTTATAAATGTTGATGTTTAGTCGTTCGACCTGTTATTTTGTTTATTTTTTCTTTAATTGACTTGTTAAGTCTTACATCAGTTGACGTATCTTTTTACATTTTTTTCAGAGAAGTTAATCATGGTCGGTGTAAGAGTATGGAGTCGCTTCTGGTTCAAGAGCAGAGCAAGAACAATCCAATTTTTTACGCGGACGATTCCAGTTCAGAATCGAACACATCCGAGATGTCTCGACATCTTGACGAACCAGCGCATTCTCCAAGGAAACATAACTCTCGTTCACGAACACCTGAACCACGGGGACAAAAGAGTACGCCGGATTATAACAGTTCACCACGACTATCACCAAATTTGCCTCAAAACATGGCGCATTCTCAATCTGTTCCTGCCCTAAAAAGTTACGATCGTTTACATAGGACTTCGACCAAAGTAACCGACAAATCGTCGCATTCACGAGTGTCTTACGAGGGGAGTTCGACTGCCGGCGAATATCAAGTTCGGTATGTTGGTGGATATCAATCGGGGCCCGAAAATGATCAGGATGAGTCAATACGACTGACTAATTACAATCGGTCTCCGTCACGTCACCGAAAGGGCCCCGAAGATCGCGGTAATGTGGATGTCAGTCATCAGCGGTCAAGTTCAAATGTTTCCGAAAACAGCACTGCTTCTACACAATCTTTCCACCAATCTCGAGAAGGAAGAGTTGAACGTGATGTTCCGTTGAATTTTAGTCGATCACCAACGAGTTCTCCTTATCTGCGGAGGAAAGCATCTGATATCCAAAACAATACCGTAAGCATACAGGCAGCTAGCACCGTTCCAGGTTCCGCGCAAAAGCAGAAGAAAACAGCCATCGTCTCACCCTTGCTGGATATGTCAGATAACAGGCCTCGCTCGGTTCCGCCTGGGCTGCTTATGTTTGATCCCACTGACCCGGAATCAGAGAGAATTGAACAGGTTTGTCATGTTTGAAGGCTGCGATAACTTTGTCGTTCATATTCTATTGGTCTGTTACACAGAATCAAGAATGTCCACGATCAAATGGTCATTCTGCTTTTGGCGAATAATTTATGCACCCGTGCTAACCCGTGGTGGTTTCTGTAGGTGATGCAGGAAAGATCTCCGTCGCTGCCTAAATTGGACACTGAAACTTTAACTTCATCTGAGGATTTGTCCGTCAGTGGTAAGGAGTTTACTAGGTGCAGTAAGGGAATATGCGTTATGTACCGAGCGGGAGGTCTATATTGGGAAAAAACTGTGCCCTGGGTCTTGAGTTCGTACTTCAGACTGAGGATGATGGTCAAAGAAAAATTATATGGTTTGCTTAAAACTTATATCATTGAATGTTTTCATGACTAGGTCTTTCAATTCGCCTAGAAATTTAATTTTATCTTTTCTAAGATATTCGCCTGATTCCAGTGTTCTGATTTGCTTTTTAGACACAGTCTTCAGACAAACGGAGATGCTTAAAAACGAAATTACAAGACTGAAATGCGAAAAGCTCGACCTAGCTCGGCAGAATGTGGTGAGTGTTTTTTTTTCCTCCAGGAGAGGGCAAATATATGAACTAGATTCGTCAAGTCTTTAGTCTAAAGTATAGAGTTCATTAGTTTGCTTCATTGGAATAACAGGACTTTTTTCCTTTTGTATTAAGTTGTTGCAGCGTGAAGTTCGTTCCATCAAAGATAAATGCACCCAGCAAACCTTTGACTTGTACGAAGCCCGCTGTGAAATAGCCCGGCTAAGGTCCTTACTTCCAAGTGAGAATGTTCCCCCAAGGGACCCCTCCCCAATAGAAACTGTTACAGTGCGAGAGGGAAATATCTCTCCCAAGAGTAGTATTGCTCGAAGAGATGTGAATGCTGGAGTTTACGTTAGAGAAAGAGAGGGACAAGGGGAAATTCCTGCAAGAACTTCCTATCGACATACTCAACTTTGACAATGAAGTGTTTGTAAGAAACTGGCTTATTCATCCTAGTTAATCGATGAAACATGCATACATACGTTACCAGGTCGTCTTATTATCCAATGTGGTGTTGGTACATTAAAGGTACATCAAGTGTTGATGTCCGCGCGATTAGTTTAACGATTTCTTAGGAAAGAATGAATGTTTTGCTTCCGTTAATACTACTTATCAACGAAGTTTAGATTAATCAGATGAAAGCTTCTAATTCGATGCCTTTACTTTTTGTGATGAGTCTAATCATGTACAGATATTATGATCCATCAAATAGTTTTGCTGTAACTAGACTAGCTCTTAATTGTCAATGCGTTTCTCGCCAGTAAAATGGTTGCAAACATTTTGTTCCGTGCGCTGCGATTAATATTGAAGAATGATACACACAGAAGCCTCCATCTGGCATGAAAATATGTTCGTACGTTTGTTTTTGGACACAATCTGTTCCACAAAGCTTACAGTTTTCTTCGAGCTTGAGGAGAATGAAATGTGAGTGGACAAATACAGGAACATACTTTTGGAACCAAATGGAAGCTATTGTGGTAAAGTTTCCGCACAGCCTCATACTATTGTAAAACAAATCTGTTTTCCTAATGGAAATGTATTGTTTTTGTCATTGTTTTCTCTGTTCAAGAATTGAATGCATAATGTAGGATGAGGCTGTGCGGAAATTTTGCCGCTATTGTCTCTATAAGATTCAAATTGGTATTTGGCTGTTGGAAACTACGGGAAAAAGACGAAAAATAATGCAAACAAATCCTTGTTATAGCCATAATTAGGTGGCTTTGTTCAGCTAAAGACGGTGTCTGATTGCTCAATCCGGATTCAAACAATAAAATTTTACAAATTGTACATGTTGATTATATTAAATTTCTTGAAGTAATGAATCTTTGTTATCGCCAGGAATTTTGACACGGTTATTTGTTTCACCGAAGACATACATTTTGATTTTCCATTTAAGAGATTCAGTTTTGGACTTGAAACCATTAACAGTTGAGCCTATGGCGAGGGGGTGCAAAGACAGTGCTTTAAGAAATGGTTGCAAAAGTGCACCTGAATATCCTGACGCAGGCCGCGGGGGAAGGGGGATTGGGACCTAAATCTTTACGTTTGCGTCATTTTGAAAACATCTAAACGTCACGCATGCTCGGTATTAAAAGTCCTGTGTCCTTATCTAACTAAATTACTCGGTTTTACCCCCAACATGTATTTCTAATGCTTATTGTATATACTTTTCGTACTCTATTTCGAATAGAAAGAAACTGAATGGCCTCTTTTTTTGGATTAGCTTTTCTGCGGAACTTAGAGGAATGAATAGGATAATTAAAGCGTTTATTTACTAGTTTTTTATTAGAATGGATAACAGAAAAATATATTTAATTTTGATTGCATGACTCTTAAAGTAACAATTTAAAGAGCGAAATCGTTTTGTTTTAAATGCAATATTGTCAATATTTTGTAAAATTTTGTAAATTCGTGTTTGTGTCTAAAAAAAATCATTCGTGCCTTTTTTTTTTTTGCCCTGACTATTGTAACTAGGTATATCATTAAAGCCAATAAATGCATAGTAAGATTGGTGCGAAACTGTTAGTAAACTGTTAAAATATAGATTGAGTGGAAAACTGATAATCAAGAATAAATCAGATATCAAGTAACTTTGTTTGTTTTCCTCGTATCTCCTCGAAATCGCGGTGTCCATGGTGTTCATATGACTGCAAGCGAGAATGGCTCGCTCCAAGCCTCCTTCTCCTTAGGGTTCGCTCCAAGCCTCTTTCAGACAGCACCCTTTTTTAAACAAATTGAGTTGAGTTGGCTGCCATACGGCCACGATACACCGAACATTCTGGTTTTATGATTGTTATCCAGCTTATAAAAAACAATTTTGAACAAGGACGCTATTACTGGGATACCGGTTAGCCCAGTCATAAAATGCCTTCGTTTTTTTGTCGTCTTTCTTTTTTTTTCTTTTTTTTTTTTTTTCCTCCGCCACAAAATGGAAAAATTGCGCAATAGTACCCAGTGGTCATTGGGCCCTCAACACCATGACAACTAACTGTGATCCAATGAGGGTGAAGGTGTTCACATGCTGATCACGTGTTATCTTGATGATGATTGACGTTGTCATGCACGGACAGGTCCGGGTCACATGACGAGCACAAGATTTTTGCTTTGAAACTCTTTTGTCGGTCGTTTTGTATTTCAATGTGTTTGGATTACGATCACCTGAAGCAATATAGCGCAAACGCTCGAAATACTTTCAGACGCATACATAAGTCGTATTGTTCGCGGCCAATCCACACTAAAAGATGTTATTGAGCGGTAATTTTGGACCGGATTGAGTCGCGAACTGTGTATCCGTTGTAGTTTCTGGTGATTTCTGCCGTTTTAAGCTTGCTTTACCATCACTGTTATTCACATCATCTACTTTTATTACGTTGGTAAAATCTGTACAGACATCACACAAACCAACTCGCGCACAAAGTAAGAAGAGTATATTGAAGGCTTGAAATTATATTACGATCGATTTTCATCAAGAAATGGGCCAGGAATTTTCCACAATTGTGCAAATAATCGTGAAGGCTGATCGAGGAAAAGCGATCGCGTGACGCTCGGTAAGCTGTAAGATGACATGTTATTATTTACCAGACGTAAAAACTCTTCAGATTCTCTGTCTGCATTTTGTACCCACTCTGCAGTCTATATTTTGTATCCGGTCTGCTGTCTGTATTTTGTACTAACAGGTATCTGTGGCATCAATACAGTTTATTTTTGGTTACATTTATTCGCACAACACACATAATCTACCACAAAATACCTGTGTGTGAGGTAATTCGACATTTTCGTTCTTTTCCACGTTAATACTCTTCTTTCCTTTTGTAAGAATGTAGACCACAAGTAATCCACCCACCCTACAAAAAATAACTCTTGCATGCATAGCATGCCTATGTTTTGAAATAGGTGTATGCCCTTAGCCGGACTTGAGCTTACTATTTCAGTATACTAATCCGACACCCGTAGTATCACTACAGTTGATTCCAAGGATCCAGTACCATCCAGGTATCCCAGTTACCCTGCTTACAGGGTCTAGTTTGGTTTTGTCTTAGGCTCGTGATCACAGCTTTCTGCCCTGTCCTATTTCTTTCGATACACTGGAAAGAGAAGGTTCGTAATGATTCCGGTTTACAAACTTCTTAGCTCAGCGTTTCGAGCACGATCCTTTTTTTCAAAAGTGAATCCGCTGTGAATCCGCTAAAGTCTTCCTTTACAAGCTACGTACACTCAACATTTGCACGATGCATTAATAGCAGTTTCCTTCTTGAACATTACTATATGATCAATATGAAACACCGACGACTGTGGCTCGATGATAATTATTTGTAGACCCACTGGTTTCAATCGAAAGCCGGTCGATTCGGAAAAACTGGTTTCAGTTTTATTAAGAAATTATGAACGGTTTATGGTGTCATGACAGTTTCTTAGTTGGTGGAGCGAGCTTACAATGAGAGTTAAGTCAAGATTCAACGATAAGACTCAACCACGAATTTAAAACGAAACAATCAGTTGGTGTCTTGGAATCATTATAAACCAAAACAAAGATATGCAAAGTAAAAAACGACTGTTATCGGTCCATTGATAACCCGGAACTGATAGAAAAGGAATCATAACATTGTTTTTACCCAAACACTGTGGAGCCGCCAAATTACAAATAGTAATTAATTTAAAAAACAAATTTCTTCTTATCCCATCAGTGACAGATTCCAGTAGTTTATACATTCCACGCTCTATTCAATCTTAAAAAAAAAATACAGGATCAGAGCAGTTCATTAGTTCGGCTGAAACAAGCGGCGATCTAATACATGCATAATCTGCAAACTTTTGTATCACGCCCGCAAGCCCTTCAAAAGGCTGACTTCATCGACCGTAAGCCATTATTATATTTTTTTTTTTTTAGAAAAATATATCACTTACAGGTGAAATTAAAAGAAATACTTAAAACTTCACCTTGAAGGCAAAAGGTAATGATGACGTTGATGCAAATATGCTAATAGTTTAGGAACAAGAAAATCATAACATGTTAAAAGAAAACATTTCTGATTACAGATATAACCGTGTCTTTGTTGCGAATCTAGTTGTATTGGAAGGAGTGAAGAACTGTTGAATTCCTTGGGAGTTGCAAAACCAGTTTGTTGTCCTGATCATGAAGATTTTAGCGAGTGCCATCGGTAGAATTTTTCTGTGTTGTGCCCTGATGTCTTACATGTCTTCCTTGAGTCACGCTTCACCTCTGCGAGAAACGAAAGAAATAATGGTGAGAATTTTAATAATAGAGGCTTCGCGTCTTTTGTATATACTTTTATAAATGTAGGCATTAACGCTGATGATATTTGATGCGATTTTTCATGACTGCTGACTAAAAAAGACTTTCATTTCGTTGCCGGGCTTTCTTTTCCTTTTTTTTTAGGATAACCCTGAGCTGACCGCCATCAGGGAAGAACGACTGATGCAGAGAACGCAGGATGCCCACACAAAGGTCTCCAAGGTATACTATAAATGACACGAGATGGAGTTCCAATACGGCATTGCAGTATTGCCTAAAATCTTCAAATAACTTTGAAATATTCTATCAACTCTCTTCGCAACAAAAACGATCTACTTCCCTTTGCAGTTTGTGCACAAGGTGTCGAAGATTAACCACAATGGAAAGCAAGTAATTTCTGCGATTTCAATAGCTCAAAAATTTCAAAGTTGTTTTCTTTTTATCTTTTTTGTTCAGTTAGTAAGTTAGATCTCCTACGCTACAAAGTACATTTTTTGTAGCGTTGACGCGCCACTGGAAAATCTGCCGTTTTGCTCTATTCATAAATTTCTTTGGCCTACCACGAGCTGTATAACAGAGCCACTATTTTACTTTGCCTGAGGTGACAAACATAAAAATATCTGAAAAAAATGACAAGTCATTTCTTCGAGGTACCATTAGAAGAAAAACAAAACGAAAAAGAACATTTTTCACCAATATCGAAAGAGAGCTTCTTGCAAAAATCAGGCACCACAACATGTACTACAAAGAATTAAGACAAGAAACCGGGTGCTAGCCCCTTATGAAGTCAAGCATAGTTTGACAGATAATCAAACAACCTATTGAGGGCATAAATGTGAAGGAAATTGAACCAATTGTTTGAATGACTTTGCAAAATTTAATTAAGTATCAACTTGCCACGAGTTGTGGACAAAACAAGCTTCTACCCTCTAAAGAAACAAAGGAATCACAACTGTGAGCAAGGGAACAAGAATTAATACACGCTAAAGAAGTGCATGTGATTTAAGTGGGCTTTTGAAAATCAGGAAATGAAGTTTGATTGTTTATTTATGGAACTTTTGTTAGGTGGCTGATTATGAGAACTGCTGTATGTATTCATTTACGGTGCGTCAGTCGAAGTAATACATCGTTGAACAAATATTGCCTTGTTATCTATTCAGGATATTGCCGAGCGTCTGAAAAAGTTTAAGGACGAAACAGGAAAGGTGCATAGTGGATCAGAAAGCGAGGACCCTGCAAAAGACTCTGGGATATACAAGGTAACACCAATAAGAACCATGGTGAACGTTAAAAAAAAACATATATTACTTTGCAACCTGGAACGTGCGATGAACTGATTGGCGATTCGATTTCTGTTTTAATCAATGAATGAGTAGCATCTACGAAGAAGGCTTTCCTCGTTGGAGTCAAGTCTCACCAGGCTGGAAAACAGAGTGGACCGATCTAAAGTCCGATGTCACGAAAGAAACACCAACTGGGATGCGAGGTCCAATGCCCCCATAATGTTTCTCGACAGGCAAAATGTTAAGTGCCCCTCCGACTATTTCTTGGCCAGTTTTCACCTGATAAGATGGGCAGACTATAATGATGCGAAGGTTCGATACAACTACCGCTGTTGTAAATTCGTTCTGTAAATTAGAGAACGTTGTATCATTTACAGTCTAACTGATGTATTGAGTATACAATTCACGTGTGAAAGTTTAAAAATAAAATTATAAGACTGTGAATTTTGTTGACTGTTTTCTACTCTCATTTTGCTCTTGCGTGTGTGGATGTGTGATCTTTGCAATGTAATTGGCTCTCAACAAACTGATTTATTCACAAATTGCTCTCGTGCTTACTCCTGATTGCATTTTTTTCCCAAGCAGAATGGGACGCTCAAATACACTATTTTCATTTTATCTTATTTGCGACTGAATTCAAGTCTCGATTCAAGTCAAGAGCCTTAAAATGGGCAATTAAATCGTTCGGCAGAGAGTTTTGGTCTGATTTCATACTTGGGAATGAATTGAATCCTGCTTGTGCCGCGAACTCGGTCGATTTTGACCCATGAACAACAAAGACTAAAGATTTGCCACAAAATCAGTCTGGAAAAACTAATAATTTTCACTGATCACAGAATGACAATTTCCTATCGGTTCTTATAGGTTTGAACTGAAAACAAAGAGGAAGTTAGATATTAAAAAGCACTGGAAGTAATATCAGAATTTTTATGTAGTCCTGGCCTTATATTACGCCCAACCTCTTTTCAACCTTGCTTCTCCTAAAGATACCACAGGAACAATGCGCTTTCATCAGCTGTTTTACATAGGCACTGTGTGCCTTTGACCTTCCATTGTAACAAGCGTTGATGGGTTTTGGCATGTTATCGGGCTCAGTCAAAGCATGTGCATGATAAAGAGTTTTACTGAATACATTTTATTTGCGAGGATGACATTATTCATACAGTATTAGGTGCTGTCTATGTAAGTGGAAAACATGAGGATGTCTATTAAAGCCGGAACACCGCCAAGAAAAAAAAAAAACCAAGGAAAGCCAAATGCATGAAAAATAGTAAAAAAAAAACCAAATATTTTGAGCTGGCTCGTATCGTGAGGTTACGACCGCTTGAAACAACAATTCCAACTCTGAAGGCTTAAGTTACAGAGACTGAAAAGAGCTTACGCCGTGTAACTGATGATTCTGAACGTCTAACGAATAATGATGAACCCATCAAAAACGTAAGCGCTGTTTATTTTTTTTAATTGCTTGCAATTTGTAAGTGAAGGGATGAAACTTGCTTGTTAACAGCCCTACCAAAAGCACCGTGAAAACGAAAAATCCTTTTCAGTAAACATGGCTAAACATGCCAATAAAGGTCAATAGAGATGCACTGTTCGAAAACGTTTTTTACCGCAATTGGTTGTAATACCGCAATCTGATCGGCTGCTCGCGTGAAAGTGTTAAGTAATGCCGTTATCAGCTCTCAAACATGAATTCACTCGAAAATTTTGACGTCGATATTGAGATAAAAAAAAAAATTGACAGTGGTTTAGCGTGATCTGTACTCTTCATCATCACAGTGTCAAAA